ATCTGCGTCCTAACACAGTACGGGGTCCCAGGGTCCCCTGGCTCTCTTGCCTCGAATGGATCTACTTCCGTGTGATCCTCCCCGGATCCACCCCTTTCGGGTTCCGGTATCCGGGTGAATCCATAGAGGGCGTTATCGATCAGACGTTGGTAGATCTGGGGTGCGTTCTTCAATCTAAACGGCATCCGGTTCCACTCGAACAGTCCAAACGGTGTGATGAATGCGGATATCGTGCGAGCTCGATCCGTCATAGTAACTACCCAAAAACCGCTGGCCATGTCAAGAGAGCAGTACCAGAGTACTTTATCCAAATCTTCTAACAGCTCATTGATCAGAGGCATCGGATACACCATCAATCGAGTCAGGCTGTTAACCAGCCGGTAATCAATGCACAGACGTATATCCACCCCGTTCTTCTTGATGATGATTACCACCGGCGACGCCCACGGGGACGTTGAGAAGCTGATGATCCTGGCTTGCAGCAGGCCCTTAATCAGATCCGACAGTTTTTCTCGGAACTGAGGTGCCACCTTCCGCACCCTTTGAGCGATCGGTTTCGTGTCGCCGACATTGATGTCACATTTGACTCCGCGGGCAGCGGGCGGTAACGCATTACCTTTACCAATCAGCAGATGTCGGCTTTCCCAGATCTTCTGACGTAGATGTTCCACTTCAGCGGGTTCGTTCGCCCCTGGATCCACTTGGATATCATCAATCGTGACCTCCTCTGTGGTCAGTGGTACCTCCGGGATAACCGCCATGCCTTCTCCCAGATCCTCGGCGTGTAGATCCCCGCCTTCACGGTAGCAGACTTGTTCATCTTCGGTCTTTGTCTGATCCACCCTTGGATCCAGGCACCGCGACTCTCCTTCGACCGTCATCCCTTCTGTCTTCGTGGGGTCGGGTATCCTGGTACTGGGGAAGTCACCTGCCGGATCCAGCCGGTCCTCTAACGAGTCTAAACCCGACGGTTCGGGTTTGACTAGCGTTGCCACTCTCGATAGGGATCCAGGCACTTTATCCAGTGGAAAGCTTGGATCCACTTGTGGATCGGCGGGATCCGGCTGTTCGGCTTTAGCCCTCTGCAATCCTTCGTCCACCGACCCTGCGTTATCTAAGGGCCGACTCTAAATGAACGATCTTCTTGAGATCTACAAAAGAGGCTATTGGCAAGTGGGTTTTTCGCAGGCTGAAGTTGACGCTAATCATTTCTATGCTGCTATAATAATTACACATGCTCATCACGAATGGTGGTCAATGAAATGGGTGCCTTTGAGACTCAGTTACCAATTTGCGTCATCCAGACCAAGACCAACAAAACTTGAGAGAAAAGCATAAGAGAATGATGTACAAGCCACACACACCCATGGAGCTCGGCGACGCCGTGCTGGGTCAGATCACCCTGGCGCTTGTGTTTGTGTTCGACTACATGATTCCCGCAGTGCACCAAATCGTCCCTTGGGAAAAAAAAAAAAACTTGAATGTGGGGCGCGAACATCCCGGTAAGAAAATATATCTGGGGAAAACCTTAAGCGGAAGGCAAAATTTCAAAAAATTTTTTTTCCTGTCGGAAAGAGAAAGGCCCATTTGGCCAATCCCACCAGAACAGAAGCCCACCACCACGAAAAGCTAGCTATGAGTCGCTACTGTGTGCGCAGCAACTTCAGCTTCTACCCGATGTGGCGAGCAGTGCAAACTAGTTATAACGGTTGCATACTCTTTTTTAAATTATGAGCAGGAAACATGCTTCTTAAAGTATCCAATCACTAATATCGGTACTACTTCGTAATACGTACAGTACGGTATCACAGTACAGTTCGGCAGCATGTGCGTCAATTACACACATGGCTGTACTGACAAAGTTGTGCGGCTACAGAAGGCCAAACACTTGTATAAGCAACCAGAGTGTACGAAGCTTTTAACCAGGCCAAACGATTACTCATTCCGAGAGAGCGCCATCGCTGTAGTAATTCCGAATTCAGTTTTTTGGGCCCCGCAGAATCGCCTGAATTTTTCAATATCTGGAAACTCGGCATCAGGCATTTCCCACGAAAACGTTAGTAGTATGACATGGAACATTACGCCGGCAGTTTTTTTACTTTCCGTAATTTACCTGCGAGACCAGTCCTGGAACGTTCTTTCGAGGCAGCTGCTATTTTGACGACGCAACCTCTCGACCACCTGAGAGCGAAAGCAACGTCTTTTTGATCTTAAGGTTAAATTTAGAAACCGCTCAACCGGTGAAGAGCTAACCGACGTTGATTTGACGACGCCCACCTTATAGCAAGCCACGTCCTTTTTGGATTCTAAGAAGCTTTCCGGGACCGCTGGCGAACGACCACATTCCAAACTATACATGTACAGTTACTGTACCCCGTTTTCCGCGCCCTCGGACTTGATAAACTTCCGGATGCGATTGTCCTGAAATCTAAAAGAACTAGAGTTTGTAAGCTAAAGTCTGATTTATTTGCAAATCCTATATGGTCCACCCCCGCGAAAACGGGGTGTATTGATAAAGGCACTTGCTATTCAACCCGACTGGTGTGGAAGAGACAGGCTAATGGAGCCCGACAGCACCCGATCAATGCCCGACCATGCCCGACACAAAATAAGTCAGTTGAGCAATCAAGCGTCCGTATACGTATATCCGGATGTGAAGGACTTTGTGGTTTGAGCGTGCAAGTACGACCCGGGCATCATGTCATGAGCCATGAAAAACCTTTAATCCACTAAAGCCTCAATGGGGACCTGGGGTAAGTGGCCAAAATCCCAAATTCAACCCTGGGTGGAAAAGAAGCTAAC